TGCGCCGAGAAAATAATAACTCAGAAATGAACCCACAATTTGGGGTCTAATAATTTTGTGTTGAGCTTGAGCACAAGTGTTAAGCAGCACTTAAGGTGGGGGTTTCGGCATACGGGCGTGTGGTGGCGTTCGTCACGATGATTGGTGGGCTGAGTGTCGCTAACGACCATCATTGTCGCTGGGGCATGATGGCTCTTACTCCAATTTTAATTTAGGTTCTCAACTACCATGATATCCCGAATACACACACAGGGGGCCCTACACACACACACACACACACACACACATGATGTGGTTCTTTTATTTCTACCTTACAATAGGTGGGAAGGTTACATATACAACCACACACACACACATATATATATATTTTTTTGAAACAGCTAATCCATTTTATTCAAGGTTTGGTATAAAAAGTGGTGAGTTTGGTATACTGTATTGTCATGGTTTGCAGGTTGATGGCCCGGAGGCAGAGGAAGATTACACCCCTCTGAATTTATTCCTGTAACCCCAAATTTGCGTCTTACCGACCTCTCTTCCCACACTCCTGGCAGAAGACGAACCACTTATGTCATGGGGTTCTTACAGGAGGGTGAACCACTCCTCTCTCTTTAAACCCCGGTAGATGGTGAACCGCTCTATCTAATAACTTAAGTAAGGTAATAGTTTCACTCTTCATGTAGTTAGTTATTTACTCGTGTCTGACGTTGTACCAGTAAGTGAACCGTTCAAGTGATGACTCAGATGGAGAGAAGAGAACCACTTGTTTCATAATTGTGACAGACTGTGAACCGCTCCTGTCAGATCACTAATATATGAGCCATTGATTTATCACTAGACTGGCAGCGAACCGTTCCTTTCAACAGTATAGATGGAATGAACCACTGGTGATCTAGTTCTAACAGGTAGTGGAACCGTTCCTTTCAATCGTTAAAATAATCACAGGAAATGAATCACTGAAGTTACATATTTCAGACACGTTTTGGGATGTTTCAAGGGCTCAAGTTTTTTTTTTTTTTTTACCGTTGTCGTATTCAACACTCCACCAAGTCACTCTCCAACACCAGGGCACCAAGTACGACCTCTCCTCTTATACAGACTTAGAGTTTTGTTTTATAAGATTATGATAGATATTTTCACCTTCTCGAAATCACATAGTTGTTTGGCCGATATACAACATTAGTTCACAACGTTTGATCAGTCGGGTGGACTATTGTTGACTGTTTCATATTTTGTGGTAATGTGTAAATGTGATTTTTTTTTTGTTATTGAAAGCCGACATTTGGGGGTGGGTACAAGAGTTATATTTTATTTGACTTAGGAAATATAATTTAACGTTTAAGTAAGTCTTCACGGACGCTACGCATTGTTGATATATTGTCTAGGATTAAGACGAACCGGTTTATCGATTTGTAACAAAACACAATATTGAGGTTAATAAAGTCGTTTGTTTTCAAGAGTTAACTGTTGTTTTCGGGAGTAAGAATATTTTGTTTTATACGTTGTCTTTAATCAAGATTCCACTGGATCGGAGCTTGAGTGAGATCGATATATTGGTGAACTCCAGGTATGTGCATCACCACTTCCCTCCCCTCCTCCCCGCGGTGTATCAAGGCTTGGTGAGTGTCACAACAAAGTTTATACCCCCTACATACACTCACACATCCCACCACAGCAAGTCACGCAGACCTATGTATTTACCAGTACTGTATTCTCTCTCTGTCTTACGCAACTCTACTGAAGATGTTAACCCCTCCTCCCTGGCCTCCTTCACCCTCACCATGACATCACTACATGACTCTCCAAACTTGAGAGATCTTCATAAATCACAGATCATCTCCCGGCGTCGCCTTCACTATCTTCCGGTGATGCTGTAGTGAGGCTCACCACCTCCCTCCCTCCCTCCCTCTCTCCCTCGCCCCGATACAAAGTACTCTGACAGTCACGTCAGGAATCTCCAAAATCCGATGATGAAACCCCGATTCTTTGGCTGGATTGATCCGCGCGTGTAGACTGTGGGATTTGTGGGGCCTGACAGGTGGCGGAGTAAAGAGGGTTAATGTAAGCTTTGGCTGGGAGTATCGTCTTCCACACTAACACAGCGACTCTACTGTACTGTACTCCACCTAGCAATAAAGTATTCTAATTGTGTTCACTGTGGCATAATAAACGTGTTAAATTATTTATATTGTATTTGAATGACTTAGATTAATGTCAGGATTATTGATCAATGGACTTGGTATATTACATAGAGTAAAGTAAGTCAGTGTTAAGATTGAGTATTGCGGAATTATAAATTGTCCCTGACATAATCCTACACAAGATGCGGCGGAGGTAGAGTGTCCGTCGCTCACACAACCCTTCCCCGGTGTTCTCCTGGCCTACCACACTCGCCTCTCTTCTCTCCCGCCGCCCTCCCTCACCCCGCCGGAGGTACAGGTGTGTCAGCGGTGCCCCTGTGCGAGGTACACCGACCAACTTCCCGCTGTCACCCTAACTGCACCGACGACCGACGTAGCGCGCGGAAATTTCGATGCGGAGGTTTTGGTGTGAAGACTTGAGGGTGACCCAGGGTTGGCGTGACTAATGTGGGGAGGTGTGGTGGCGGGCTGGTCACTTGACGCACCAAGTGCTCTCCACCTGTCACCAAGCTACAGTATTATTGTCACCAGCACACAGCCGTCGGTAAAGCTCACACTTAACGAAGGCATCACAGTAAATCATGTTTTACACTTTAGTACAGTTCCTTTAACTTATAATGATAATATTTACACTGTAGACTACCGGAGAGGTGGTGTGTAGACGGTAGTGAATTTATTGGGGCTAAGTAGTAGTAGTGGTGTGTATGTGGTAAGTCGCAGAGTGAGTGGTGGTGAGGCGGACGCCGCCCACGTGCCCGGGTCAGGCCAGGGCCACCCACCACAGCGATAGTGCCACCGTTAGCATGGCACTGCGGGACCACACGTACCTGTTGCCAGAACTGAGCCAGGAGGAAGATGCGTTCCTTCTTGAAGAGCCAATCCATGGGCTGTAGGTTCTGTAGGGCGGCCAAGTCCTTGCCGGGGATGTCGCCCCCCGCGCCGCCTTGGGCGTCAGGCCCTGGCGCCGCCATGGTACCCAGCAAAGGGTGAGGAGCCACCGTGAAACTGCCCAATCCTCCAACACCCGCCCACCCGCCGCCCACCTCCGGGGCTGAGCTACCTTCAGACGCAGCCACCTTCACGAGTGTTTGGCGCTGCGTGTCAGCAGAGGTAAGAACAGCAGCAGCAGCAGTTATCGCAGGGGCTGCTGCATGTCACAAAGGGTGTCACTAAGTGTTGTCACAAGGGGTGGTAGTGAGGGTCACGTGGGGGCGTGAGAGCAGCACGTCACACTAGTACAGGCCGCGGGGCGCCCTACACACCACACGTCTGGCACACACTGTGGACCTGCGGGCGACACACGGCGTTGTGTGCGCTGCGAGAGGGCCTCCCTCAGACTGGGGACGACTTGTTGGTTGCCGCTCGCTAACGCCGCCCGTCCACAGTCGCCCGCTGCTGCCCCCTGGCGGCGGGGGCAAGGGGCGGAGTCTCGGCGCAGACCGCCCACCATTGGTCCAGCGGGCGGCGGGGGGGCGGGCCACCCAGCCACCTCCTCACCACACTCATTTATTGCCACCCATGTATCACACCAGAACACCACCTCACAGCCGCTCACACCGTTCCCCTCTCCCGCCCACACCACACACACCCGCGCCACACGTTGCCTCGCCCACCGCGCCACCCCACGCGACACATTCCCCTTACACGCCCTCTAACCATATACATGCCTTCCCTACATCTACGCAACTTCTTATCACACCCACGCCTTCTCTCGTCTACGTGCCCTCTAACCAAACATACACACATGCTTTTCTTATATCTGCGCGCGTTCTTATCACTCACACACGCCTTTCCTACATCTACGCGCCTTCTCACAACACACACACGCCTTCCTTACCTGTACCAGACCTCGACATCTACGTGAGCTCTTATCATACGCACGCTTCCTCAACCTTTACACGCCTTTTTACAATACGCACACACACGCCCGCCCTATATCTGCACACCACCTTACTGTACACACGCCTTATCGACATATAGGAACGCTCATATCTTACACACGCCTCCTCAACCTTTACGCGCCCTTTTACAGTACACACACGCCTTCCATACAATTATATGATCTCTATACTTACATCTACACGCCCTGTTTACCTCTACACGCCCTGTTTACATCTACACGCCCTGTTTACAGTACATCTACACGCGTATTCTAAATTTTTATCATTTACCTCACACGTCCTCCTTACACGCCATCCCTGCCTCCACACGCCTCCTATATATTCAAATGTCTTCCCTACATACGCACGCCCTCGATACATTAACACGCCCTCTACATCTCCGCACGCCACCCCAGCTTCCTTAATCTGTAATCTGTACACGCGCTGTCCCACGCCCTGTCCTCCGCCACGCCTTGTCCTCCACCACCCCTTGTCTTCCTCCGCCACGCCTTGTCCTCCACCACGCCTTGTCCTCCACCACGCCTTGTCCATCAGTACGCCTTGTCGTCCTCCACCACCCCTTGTCGTCCTCCGCCACGCCTTGTCGTCTTCCGCCACGCCTTGTTGCGTCCTCCACCACCCCTTGACGTCCCCGCCACGCCGTCGTCGTTGTCGTCTTCCGCCACGCCTTGTCGTCCTCCACCACCCCTTGGCGTCCCCGCCACGCCTTGTCGTCTTCCGCCACGCACCCTTGTCGTCCCCACCACGCCTTGTCGTCCTCAACCGCTCCTTGTCGTCCCCGCCACGCCTTGTCGTCCTCTGCCACGCCTTGTCGTCCCCCCACTTTGTCAACCGTTGTCGTCCTCTGCCACGCCTTGTCGTCCCCGCCACGCCTTGTCGTCCCTCAACGCGTCGTCCTCTTGTCGTCCTGTCCAACCGCTCCTGTCGTCCTCGCCTTGTCGTCCTCCACGCCTTGTCGTCCTCAACCGCTCCTTGTCGTCCCCCACGCCTTGTCGTCCTCTGCCACGCCTTGTCGTCCCCCGCCACGCCTTGTCGTCCTCAACTCCTTGTCGTCCTCCGCCACGCCTTGTCGTCCCCGCCACGCCTTGTCGTCCTCAACCACTCCTTGTCGTCCTCGCCACGCCTTGTCGTCCCCACCACGCCTTGTCGTCCTCTGCCACGCCTTGTCGTCCTCCACCACGCCTTGTCGTCCTCTGCCACGCCTTGTCGTCCTCCGCCACGCCTTGTCGTCCTCCGCCACGCCTTGTCGTCCTCCACGCCTTGTCGTCCTCTGCCACGCCTTGTCGTCCTCCACCACGCCTTGTCGTCCTCTGCCACGCCTTGTCGTCCTCCACCACGCCTTGACGTCCTCCGCCACGCCTTGTCGTCCTCCACCACGCCTTGTCGTCCTCCACCACGCCTTCTTAACGTTACCCATTCAGCGCCCTATCTATAACTTACTCGCATTCTTTCTATCCCACGCCCCTTCCCCTTACTCTCCGTAGTCCAGCACACGCCCTCCCACACAGTACAGCACACCCCTCCACATAGTACCCACGCCCTCTCACATAGTACAGCACACACCCTCCCACATAGTACAGCACACGCTCTCCACATAGCACATAACACGCCCTCCCACATAGTACAGCACACGCCCTCCCACATAGTACATCACACGCCCTACCACATAGTACATCACAGGCCCTCCCACATAGCACAGCAAACGCTCTCCCATATAGTACAGCACACGCCCACATAATACAACACACGCCCTCCCACATAGTACAGCACACACCCTCCCACATCCTCCCACATAGTACATCACACGCCCTCCTACATAGCACAGCACACGCCCTCCCACATAGTACATCACACGCCCTCCCATTACATTACACGCCCTCCCACATAGTACAGCACACGCCCTCCCACATAGTACAACACGCCCCTCCCACATAGCACAGTACACACCCTCCCACATAGTACAGTACACGCCCTGCCCGTGTTACAGTACACGCCCTCCCACATAGCACAGTACACACCCTCCCACATAGCACAGTACACACCCTCCCACATAGTACAGTACACGCCCTGCCCGTGTTACAGTACACGCCCTCCCACATAGCACAGTACACACCCTCCCACATAGCACAGTACACACCCTCCCACATAGTACAGTACACGCCCTGCCCGTGTTACAGTACACGCCCGGGACACACACACACACACACACACACTAAGCACACACGCCTACCTTCTGTCTCCCACGCCACGCCGCAACCTTCACACGCCTTGCACCCTACACGTACCCTAATATTTGTATGGCGCGTGTGGCGTGGCCATACACGCCATACAGCGACTCGTGTATGGTTTGTTTGTACGGGCTCTATACCTTCATACACAGGTGTTGTGTGCGTGTAATTAATGTACACACCAATCTGTGTAGTCGTGTGATCTACATACATACACTGATGTTGTGTGCGTGTAATTAATGTACACATAGTTTTGTGTAGTCATACATACATACGTACACTGATGTTGTGTGTGCGTGTTTTTAATGTACACTCTAATTTGTGTCTTCTTGTGATTTACATACATACATACTGTACATACATACATACATACATACATACATACATACATACATACATACAGTACATATCTGCATACATAAACTGGTGTTGTATATGTTTTTGTACGTATGATTAATTTATACATTAGTCTCTGTATTCGTATATGGTTGACATACAAACATACAGAATACACATAAATTAATACACACATACAAACATAGACCAGTGGTGTATAAGTTTCGTGTGTGTGTGTGATTAATGTGCACACCGTTCTGTGCATTGGTTGTGTATACATAGGAGTCATGTACGTGCACTCATAAATATGATTTTGCCTGTGGGTAGTACACATATTATCTGTGTATGTATGACTTTAGTCATACACCATATGGTTGATGTCCCATCTACGTGTTATTAATATCTGCTTTGGTTTGTGTATGACTATGATTCTTATGAGTATGATTGATCCGCATAAAGAAACTGATTTATTTTGTATATTTTCAGTATACATATATATATGTATTTTTGCGCATGTGTAAAAGTCGTATGAGTTTTGTGTACAAGATCCATATACATACACCAGCGTATGTATAGACTGCACTTTGATTATTCATATACATAGACAGTCGTACGTGTGTGTGTGTATAGGGTGTCAGTAGAGGATTCATCGATGTATACAAGTACGCAGAAGGATTGATTATGTATGACCCGCTATGTATACTATCTTGTGTGACTCATGATCCACATAAACATAACTGTGTCATTAAGCTTATTTATACAGTATTCATACACATTGAATCTATGTATACAGGATTCATAAGCTTTAAGGTCATATACATATATATATACAAAGTTCCTATACATATTCTGGTTTATTACGTCTATGTAAGTTTACAGCAGATTCCAGTAGATTTTTTTTACTACATGAATACTGAACACAGTCCTTGGAAAAACTGAGAAGGCGAAAACAAAGTTGTTCATCCCAGGACGAGAAAGGCCAATAGTCTTGCTTAGAGTCGTCCATCCTATCAAAATAAGCCTATGTTTAACGTCGTCCATCCTATGAAAAACAAGACCAACGTTTAACTATATGTCGTGTATCCTATGAAAAATAAGACCAAAGTTGAGTAGTAAGTTGTTTATCCTATGAAAAACAAGACCAAAGTTTAGTTGTAAATCGCACAGCCTAGAGAAAAAAAATCAAGGTTACGACACTCTTCATTGTTTACATTTGAAGAAGGAGAAAAAGAATAAATAGTTAAGCATTTGTCTTGTGTCTTAGGAGTAATATCACCAATTTTTTATATTTTTTTTAGATTTACATCTTACTTAAGGAAAGGAACCACACACATATCTGATCACCCTAGAAAACACAAAAGTCGTCATTCCACTGAGTGTTGTTCATCCTCCAAATAAAAAATTAGATCAACATTTAAATATCTTAGGAAGAACTAGATCAACATTTACCTCCAAATTTTAGAATGTTAACCTTTGAGGACTTGGGGTTAACCTATCATAATCCAGAAGTTAACCATCATCATTAGAAATTATTATTATTATTATTATTATTATTATTATTATTATTATTATTATTATTATTATTATTATTATTATTATTATTATTATTATTATTATTATTATTATTATTATTATTATTATTATTATTGTTGTTGTTGTTGTTGTTGTTGTTATTATCCTCAAATTATTCAATCATTCATCATTATTTTTAAACAATCATTTAAGGACGCTAAATGATCATTCTCGGGGGTTAAACCATCATTCTTGGAGGGTTAAACCACCATTCTTGGAAGGTTAAAGCATCATTATTATTAAACTCATTCTCAGGGGGTTAAACCATCATTTTAAGGGGTTAAATCATCATTCTCAGGTGGTTAAACCATCATTTTCGGGAGTTAAACCACCATCCTTAAAACACTAAGAAAAAACAAACCAGGTCCACCTTTCACCATCTCACTCACTGGACTTCAAAAATCAAAATACTCCTATAAACTTAACGGCATCAGTAGTTAAGAACTATCTAATTACATCAACAAACAACTACTTGACGCATTCTTCGCTTACCCGAGAGATTTAAAATACTCTAAGAATTCCCTTAGTATTTTTCTAAGTTTCTAATTGGTATTTATAAGTATGTGTGGAAAATAACGTATGGGTATTAATTTTTTATTTTTTTGGTGATTGCGTTGTATTTCTGTATGACGTGATTTAAATTGTATCCGGCAGGTTGTAAATTATGTGTGCCTGCCGAAGACGTGATTTAAATTGTATCCGGCAGGTTGTAAATTATGTGTGCCTGCCGAAGATGTGATTTATATGATATCCGGCAGGTTGTAAATTATGTGTGCCTGCCGGAGACGTGATTTAGATAGTATCCGGCAGGGTGTAAACTCATTTGTGTCTGCCGAAGAGGTTAACGGTGAGGGTGTCCGGCAGATCGTAAGCCAATCCAAGTTTGCCGGAAAAAAAATTGGGTCGGTTTTACTTAAATCAACTTCCTTCTCAACCGGAAAGACAACAACGGTGATGTTTATTTTATCTGGACGCTATCTTCTGTTGTCTTCCGGTAAACGGTAAACAGACGCACATAACAGTGGAAGAGGAAAGTGAGAAGGGAAATGGAAAAGTCAGCAGTGAAGAGGAAAAGATAACGGTAAGAGGAAAAAAGTAACAGTGAAAGGAAAAAATAACAGTATAAGAGGAATGGCAACAGAGAAAAAAACAGGAAAAAAGTAACAGTGGAAAAGGAGGAAAATCTACAGTGAAGAAAGAAACGGCAATAGTGAAGAAAGTCAAAGAAGTAACAAAATGAAGGAAGAAGAAGAAAGAAGGAAGGCAGGAGAGGTACAAGTAACCAGTCTCTGCCAGTGAAAATTATTTACACGCGAGAAAGAATTTTTTTTTTAACTCAATATGGAGATAACTTATGGTGTTAATAATAATAATAATAATAATAATAAAAAATAATAATAGTAATAATAAAGATAATAATAATAATAGGAACAATAATAATAATACTAATAATAATAATAATAATAATAATAATAGGAATAGTAATAATAATAATGATAATAATAATAATAGGAATAATAATAATAATAATAATAATAATTGGAATCATAATAATACTGCTACTACTACTACTAATAATAATAATTAATTCTCATACATATAAAATTTCTATGTATAATTGAGTATTTATTGGGCAGTCGAATCGGAAACATTATTGTCCGCGGCTGTACAGTGTGTGTGTGTGTGTGTGTGTGTGTTTGTGTGTGTGTGTGTGTTAGTGAGCGGATTCCATCGCCTTTGACAGTCTGTTCCAGATCTGGAGACGTCAGCGAGGGGGAGGAATTTACATATATGTACCGCGGGTTGTGGTGTCCCTGCCGCACCTGTCTCCGTGTACCTGTCGCTCGCGTCAGCTGCAACAAACACCGCCACCACCACTACCAGTACCACCGCCACCACCACCACCTCCACCTCTTTTCCACCACCTCCACCTCCTTCTCCACCACCACCACCTCCACCTCCTTTACCTCCACCACCTCCTCCACCACCAGGTGATATACTCCTGCGAAATCCCGAAGTGATATCGTCCACTGACCTTGCGCCCTGGCAGTAAAGACTTGTTATAAGTATATCTACGCCTGCGCCGTGGTGGAGCACTGGGAGTTGTTACCCCGCGATGATCGACAGCGCAGCAATACGCGCATGTGCAAGGTGTTAAAGTTTGCGCTTCAAGTTCGCAGGCGCACGAAAGTAGCGAGCGAGAGACAGTGGTGAGTCTGGTGGTGAGGACGGGATAGCGCAGGTGGCGAGCAGTTTGGGTCGCCGCCACCTCCTGCCTCCT